TTCCTCTATCGGTTGCCAAATCTCTTGTTTCTCTTGTTGTGGTGTATGACTCCTTTGTCTACGTAATGTCCTCTCAATTTCTGGATCGAAAGGTGCTACTTCTCGAGATGTCCATTGCATACACTACAAACAAAAATAAGAAAGATTATGCAACTTTTATTTATCAAAAACTGATTAAAATGTAAAATTAGCTATAGACAACTTAACTAAAAAATAAAGATGTCTAAATTAATAGAGATGATTAGATCCTAATATTGTCGCTCCCCGGCAACGGTGTCAAAAACTTGACAGATTTTTACTACAAGTGCAAGTTAAATCCGAATTTGTACCCGTTTGACTGCAAGTATACAGGCCAAAATCGTAATGTAGGGTATGTATCGGGTCGATCCCACGAGAAGCAACTTAAACAATTATTAGATCCTAATTTACTCTATTATTTAGACTCACAATATATTTGAGCAAAAAATTCAGAATTAAATCTGACTACAATCTTTTTACTATCTAAAATCCTTAGCTAGATAATTGTAATATCACAAATGGAGAAAAATTCACCAAATACTTGAATTTAGGGATGTAGATTCCACTTATGACACAAATGATCCAAATGAATGAATTTAACACTTGTTACTACTCTTGTTTAAAACTTCATTCTCATGATAAAATTGGTCTAAAACAACTTAATTTTTCCTAATCTTTTGGTGAAAATTGAAACTACTCTTGTTCATGCATGAAATGCAGATTTAATCCACTTAAATGTATTTCTATTCTCATGAATATACAACTCAAACTCCACTCATGTTATTCCACTGTTTTTACCATTTCTCAATGAGTAATAACAACTATAAACTTGCTATTGGTGATCAAACAACAACAAGTAATCAAGCATACACAAGTAGACAAGTTAATACAAGATACAACAAGTATAAATCATATTCAATTCATATCACTTGGCCATAAGTTTCATCTACTCCCTAGATATAGAAATTTAGCTATTCATTGATGATATACTAATCAAACTCATAACTTCATTAATGAAAAACATCTCAATTTACAAGTACCAGAAAGATAAAGAAAAGCTTAGCCAAGTAATGGTGAAACCCTCCAAGAATCTGCTATGTCTTGTACTAGATTATTACAAGATGAATCCTCCTGTTCCTGCAAAATTTACTAGCTAGAGAGAGTTTGGTATCAGAAAATCTGGCTACGTATGATGATCTGACCTCCCTTGATTCTCTGCATAAAAACTGCTCAAAAGCTCCTTTTCCACTGATCAAATTTCCACCTCTTGATTCCCAAATCTCAGATTTTGTTAAGATAGTCAATAACAAAGGTTATTGACTCGACAATAAGACATATTGTCTGCCCTTTTGTCTTCTGAAGCATGTGCACAACTTATAGTTGGAAAGTGGTCTGAACACGAGAAATGGCTAAGCAAATTGTAGAATTTCGGCTACAAAACACGCCTACACAAAACGCGGCTTGGAGTCGCATTTTGTCAACTCGCGTTTTCAACTCTGTGAAATTGACCTCGTTTCAACTGTGATTTTCTCTATGATGGAGGCTGAACTAGCTTTTGTGCAAAACACAAAAGTTGTAGCCCTTTGAGTTAGCTTTACAATGCTTCAAGAATCATCCAAATTGGAGCTTTGTAGCCTGAGATGTGATCGAAATACTATCACCTGGTCAAACCTCTGTTTCAATTTTTGACCATAGAATGCAGCTTCGGTATTTCGGCTTTTTGTCCATGAAAGCAGCAGAATTGGATTTCAATGTCTTCATACCAATTGTAGACTCTTTCTTAGCTTTAAAATGGTACAAAAATCACATCAATCCGATAAGTGTAGCTTTAGATATAGTCAAAATACCGAAGAGTATCAAAACTGTCTTAAACTGCATTTCTTCACTTAAATGTTTTTCACTTCATTTCTTTTTTAACTACTTGAATTCATCACCAATTATCTACTTTTCACCTCATTTGACATCCTTTGGTGGTTGAATAATTAATCCTGCAAGAAAATGAAATTTTTACAATTAAAATAAATAGAAATGCAATATTAGCCACTTTTACCAAAAATATATATTTTTACCAAAATCTAGTTATTTTAGTTATAAAACTAAATAATCAAATCAAAATTAACTAATAAAATACACTTAAAAATACGTAAAATAAACCCTTATCAACTATTACTTACTATACATATATATATATATATTTATTATTATTTTATTGTTATTCATTATTATTGTTATCGTCTTTGCCATCACTATTTTATTTTATTACCATTTATATGTACTTGTTAATTAATTACTATTATCTTTTGCTTTACTCCCATTTTTATGCATGTGTATATGTTATTATTATTTATGTGTACATGTATATATATATATTGACTTATTATTATAATTATCGTCTTAAATTATTTCACTTGTATTTATATTTTATTTTCGTTTATATCCTTAATTTGTTTCATCCATATTATTATTATTACTATTATTTTAAGCGTTTTATTCAACAATCTAGAGCTTATCTTACATTGTATAACTTAATCTAATAATGCTAGGTTAAAATGTTTTAGATTTCTATTTGAGTACTTTAGACTTAATTAATAAAGTATAAGCTTAAATAACTACATCTTTAAAAATCCAAAAATTATTATTTAGATTGGGTTTTGCAATTTAATTCCTATGTCCATAAAAAAGTGGACTAATTATACCTAAAATTTAACTATTGGACATTCACTAAACTCATACTATATTTTTGTTCCCAAATATACTTGTCCTTTTTTTTTCTAAATTCCATTATTATTTTTATTATTCACAATCTGTTTTTTTTCTTTCTTTCGTCGGCCAAAGGGAGGAGGGTCATCAGATCTACTAGGTTGGCCAAAAGGCCACCCTTCCTACTTGTGCTGGCGACCTTTGCCACTTTTTTTTTCTTTTTTTTTTTTTCCGTTTCTGAAGCCAAGATTCAGCAAATTAGCCTCAGCAACGGTGCACAAGAGCGGCGGCGCTGCTGCTCCCTCATTTTTTATGTTTTTTAACTTTCCAACAGATTTGGATAAACCCTATTCATCTCATAATTAAAATCTAACACACTAATTTCACATATTCAGATATGAATCTTCCTAAAATTTTCATGCAGGCATAAATATATCGCAAACTGTATATACATAAAATCCCCAAAATAGTTCATGGAATTAATACTATTTAAGAGAAAAACCTTTAATGCGTGTTTGGGACTTACAGGTTTAGACGCTTAATTGCCTACTTGTTCGACGGTGACGTCTTTTTCTCCTTCTCTACTTTCTGACGGCTCTTACTCTAATGGGAAGCAGACAATGAAAGGTAGAAAATATGTTATTTTTTTTGTTGTTTGATAATTGTGCTAAACCCTAATAACCACCCACTAGTGGGTGGTTTAGACAGGAATTTTAACTACTGTAAACTTTTACCCTATCTTATCTCATCCTATCTCTCAATTAACCCATTAACCTAACCTGCAACTATTTTTTGCTTTTACCTATGGTAAATTACCATGTAATTTAATTGGGAAGGATAAAAAAAACAGAGCCCAAAAATCGTGGGTTTTACAGCATTTGTCAATGTCATGCCAATAATTGAGCTTATGATTGAGCTGAGTTGCATGATTGGCATCACAGTGCCAGCGGCTGATACTTATTAAACCTGGGCCTTTTGTTGAACTTGATTTCTCAGCGGCAAGGACGTGAAGGTGGAGCCCTAAACAATAATGTAACACTGAACAAGTGGCTTCTTCACAAAAATCTTGAGCCAAGAAAATTTTCCCTTCCTCGTAAAATGCAAAGCAACCTGCACGTCTCTTAAAAAAAAAAAGAATGAATGAACGAACAAGAGGGAGGGAGAAGACAGACAATTAGTCTAGAAGAGGGAGAACGAATCACGCATGCACGCACCTTTGTGTTGTGAGTTGCCGTGATAATATGCATCAAGTGATTGACAGTGTCGGGAAATTAACATGAGATTCGTTAAAACGCTGAGAGAGTTGAACATTGCATCGATGCCAAAGGAGTTCACAGACGTAAGGGACAGGATTTTGACAAAGTCAGCCGGTAACTCAACCGGTTTAGAAGGTAATTTCCACCTTAGTTATGAAATTTAAGATGTTTATGTGGAGGTTTTTAAACCATAAGGGATAAGGTGTCTTTTCGTGAAACCACAAGGGGGTTCTTTGTATTTTACCCAAAATACAAAACTGTTAGGATTCAAGCGCGAAACAAACAACTATTGAAATATCAAGTATACAACAATTTAATGACAAACATGCCACAAGTATGAAAGATAAACGACATACAATATTTAATGTGGTTCGACTCTACCATTGAGTCTACGTCCACGAAGAGAAAATCCGTTCTTTATTATGAGAGGAAAACCCTATACAAGGATACAACTTGAACCCAAGTCCAATTTTTGTATACCAGCTCTCATCTCCCAAGAACCCTCTCTCACCACCCCATGTATAAGGCTACATGTTGCCTCTTGTATGTCATTGTGTGTCTCTTTGTAGTATATCAATCCATCTATTTATAAAGAACATTATTTGGCCAAAACCCAAATAATAATAGGAAACCAATTCTAATTCCTAGACTTGCATAGAATAGGAAATAACTTCTAATCCTAAACTAAATAGAATATTCCTTGGCTGCTACTTCAAGTAACTAAAACCAATTAGGAAATTAGTTACTTCCACACAAAATAAGAATTTTACCTAAAAGAAATTAAGCCAATTTCCTAACAAAAACAATGTGTAAAACTCTTGAGATTAACCATAAACTTTCCAAAAAAAATTATTTTTTGCTTTTGATACTTTAAGAACATATCAAATTTATATTGAAATGTAAGAGTCAAGGAGTTTGCCTTTTACTAGTTAAAACATAATAAAATTACACTAATTTACACTAATAAAATTACACTAAGGTTACATGATAAAGTTCCACAAATAGAAGACAGAAGAATCAGGAACCATTGGCCAACTCATCTATTTAAAGAGGGGGGGGGGACCTCAAAGCTTCCAAGACCACACTTAGCTATGGCAATGCAAGTCACTTTTCTGGTTGCCCTTCTTCTACTCCCCATTCATCTCCTAAATGCAAGAACTGTCATAACTTCATTCAATCGAAGCAGCTTTCCTGATGATTTTGTATTTGGAGCTTCCTCAGCTGCCTATCAAGTACACTTGATCTTGTTATTTCACCGTCCTTTTTTTTTTCATTCTTTTCACTTCCAGTAGTCAGACACACGGAGTTCGAACACTAAACTTGGCATCTTGTGTTTACTTCAAGAAAAAAAAAATTTGCCAGTCCCATTTTTGCAGTCCCTATACTTTTGCCATTTTTTTATTTTTGAAATGAAAAAAAAATGTATTTAAAATTTTTATTTCCTTATGTGCATTTATCCTAATGGTAATCCAAACTGTGAATGTTTATCTTTTCTTGTTCCAGTACGAAGGTGCAGCATTTGAAGGTGGGAAAGGTCCAAGTATCTGGGATACATTTACTCATAAATATCCAGGTCTGTATATGTAACACTGATGCTCAATTGAATACGAAACCACAATTTTTGTTACGAACTTCTCTAACCAGTGCTTCAACTAATTAAAGCATTTATTGTACTGCATTTACCTGAGTGGTTTACTGTAAAAAAAGAAGTGCTTGCTACTTACCCTTTTTTTTTTTGATGAGGTCAAAAAGTACAATGAAGGGAAATGCTAAATCTACCCTCTTTGTCCTAAATTCACGCCTTAATTGTATTGTTAGCAAAGAACAGATAAAAATATGTTGAATTAACAACTACAAATAAAAATAAAAACTAATGTCTTTCTTTCTATGGTAATCAAACGGCTTAACAATATGAAGAAAAGAAATAATTTGCAATAAACTGAGGGTTGCAATGGCAAATCAGTACGCACAATCGATACAAACGCAAGGTAGCAATGTTGTAACAATTGTAACAACACGAGGCAGCAAATGCCAGATTTGGAGTCTCTTCTTTGCCCTTGTTAATCCAATCTGCTTTAACCACATCCAATTAGCATCCATGGGCTATAAGCAAAAGCATTGAGAATCCACATCCCTGAAGATTAGAATTATCAGGAAATAATCCATTAATAAATGCAATGTGATATGTGCAAGCTTAAGAGTCTAAGGTCTTGTTTGGATTGCATTTTTTAGGATTTTTTTTTTGTAGAAAAATTATTGTAGTGATTTGATATAGGTAAGGAAAAAAGATAATAGGAAAATGTGATCACGAAAAACGATGCAATTTTTCGACGAAAAATGACTGTCCAATTGGGGCCTTTGCCTTTTGCCGACACTTCATATGACATCTCAACCACACTTTTTCTCAAACATTAGAACTTTTTTTGCAGGGAAAATCTTGAATGGAAGTAATGGTGATGTAGCTGAAGACTTTTATCATCGATACAAGGTATGTTATTATTATCACAAAAAAGTATGAACATAATGTTGACTAATACTAGACTAGACGGAGAGTTAATTGATTAACTAGTAATTAACAATATATGTTGTTGCATGTTATTTATTTTCTTTTCCCAGCCGAACTTTTCAGCTTGACGTATATTTTTAAGCAGAAAAGATATGGAATTTAAGAAATAAAAAGGAAGAACTAAGAAGGAAAGATTTAAACTCATGACGTCAAGTTTGATATACATTTTACTTGTCCATGGATTACAAAATTTGACAAAGAGCCGTTCAAGTCATACATGTAGATAATTTACAGACCGTATCACATCATTGTAGGGCAGACAGTACTTTTCAACGTACAAATGTTGGGCAATGACTGTGGACATGGCACATGGTCTCGGACCAATCTCGGACCAATATGGAAAAATTAAATACATGAGGAAAAAAACACTGTAACAAATAATTTGTGATTATATGAAAATATATCTTCAAATTTTTCCATATATGAAATTTTGATAAGCTATTTTTCAGTTTTTTCTATTCATTTTTGTAATTTACATATAAACGAAATGCATCTAATTACCGTAGCGTTTTGTACCCCACAAAAAAAAAATTCTTTTTTATGACGGCCTCAAAAATCCTTTTTTGTTTCACATTATCCGATAGAGACTTGCCTCATATCAGATGTTACTATTTTTTTTTTGAGATCATCTATTTCTGTACCAACAATAACTAAAAATAAGATTCAATGCCTTTTCATTTGAGCCCAAGCACATAAATGTGTCGTAATCTTCCTAATTATCAATGAAATGAATACTACGCACCTACCGGATGGAAGGGTTCCATCATTGGCGTTAAAAGGAGACACACGGGACACTGACAAGGGGAAGAGTACGGCTGCAACGCGCTCGATTAATTGCGAGTTGTGTCCGTCAAAACTTGATTGGAGCTCGATTAATTTTGAGTTCCGGTCATTTTAGCAAGATTATCGAGTTATGTTCGAGTGTAAATATACTTGACTCATATTGACGTGTCAAACTTGTTCGATTTTATATATTTTAAATTAATTTTTTACTAGTATTTAAATTACATAAATGCCTCCCATACCTTATTATTTATTAGAGTAAAATATCTACTTTATTCATTTGAAAAGATACTACAACTTTTAATTTGATCTCAACTAAGCTCAAAACGAAGTTTAAGGTCGAGCTTGAGTTTTACAGTAAACTTAATCAAATTTATATCGGATAAAATTGAATCAAACTCTGCTTAATTAAACTAGAATTTGACTAGACTCGACTATTTATAACCGTAAATAATAGGCCACGTAGGAGCCCTATGAGTACCATCATGGGACTCAAAAGGGCGGATACAAGGAGGGGATGGCCGATGGAACTGAACACCTTCCACTAGTTGGGACAACTTGACTGTCTCCATATCAAACAACTTCTGATCTGAGAGGGTCTATACATATACATATATATATATATATGTACCACGTCAGAAAGTTAGTAATGGTATGTTTCATGCCTTATGGCCTTACAAGTAATTAAAAGTTTCTTCTTCCTATATGCGCTTGTAAAATACTACTTCAGTCTCAAGTAGTTGAACAATTTAGTCTGCTTCTAAGTTTTCTTGATATTGCTATTTTGATTTTTCATTTTTAGTTCAAACCAATTGCTTATTCACAAGTGATATGCATGCCATCTGATTATCGCCTTTTTTTTCTTTTAATGTATTGGCAACAGGATGATGTCAAATTGATGAAGTTTATTGGACTGGATGCTTTCAGATTTTCCATCTCCTGGCCCAGAATATTGCCTCGTAAGACATACCACAAAAACTATTGCTCAAAATTGGCGTGGCTATAGGCCAATAGCCAATCGAATTTGTTCATTTTCTAACTCGTTCAATCATTCTTACTTTATCTTGTGACGCACCATAACAAAGTTCAATAGCCATGTTCAGAATAATTTGATGTATAATTAAGCGGTTTGTCTAATGTGTGTTCAAAGCAGACGGAATAATAAGTTTGTCTTATTATTGAAAAGCAAAGTCAAACTGATAAACTGACTGATTGTCTATATGCATGGGGACCATTATATTTGTAATTTTACATAGCAAATTAAGTGTATGATAGATGTACGAATAAAATTTATTGATCAAAATTGGCTTATAAGTTTACTCTTATCACTCGTCATTTTTTGTTATTCACATTTTCAGGTGGGAAGCTAAGCGGAGGTGTTAACAAGGAAGGCGTAGCTTTCTACAACAATCTCATCAATGAGCTCATATCAAATGGTTCGTTAGCTAATTTTCGTTCGTTAACCGCTTCCGTGGAACAAACAATTTTTCTTTATTGAGTTACTTATTAACAATTTTCCTAATATCGTACTTAGGTATAAAGCCCTTCGTGACAATCTTCCATTGGGACGTTCCCCAAGCACTTGAAGACGAGTACCACAGCTTTTTAAGCCCTCTCATTGTGTAAGTAAAAGCTAATGGAAGTTCGAACTCTTTTTTAGCTAATGGAGGTCGAAGCTATTACGTCGTTTAATCTAAAAATTATTTATAACTATGAGTTTTTCCAACCTCACATAGGCGGATATAGGTGCAATCGTAGACAACAGTTGATGGTCAAAATTTACTATAAAGGTCTAGAAGAAATTTGGACCGTCAAATTTCAAATGAACAACCCAAATTCTAGACTCTTATGGTAATCAAGGGAGTCAATTGTATGATACAATTGCACCTACAACCACATCAGACCCCAATCCCAGGCAGGCCGTCTATTTTTTTTTTTTTTTTTTTTGTCAGCAACGATATATTTGTATAACCTACTCTATCCTAATCTAAGGGGAGAGGGAGTCTAAGGAGGCTGTGGTAGGGACTAGTGGGTATATAGACCCAACTAGACTAAGGGAGTGTTATGGCACAACTCTTAAATTTTTTTCGCTAATAAAGGATTCTCTGGTGGTCACTGAGCCATCGACCCAATAGTTAGGCAGGCCATCTACCACTAGAGGGTGAAATAGCTTGTTGCGGTTTCATTTTGACTTTTGAGGAAAAATTTTTGACATTAGATTCATGAGAAAATGCATTCATATATTATGTCTAAAGAAAATGACCATCCATGTACATAAAGAACATGACCTTCTAACACAAATACAGAAGATGAATTTGAGCATGGCCTATACATTAGCCACGTTCAATTTTCTAAACAACAATGGTTATGTCATGATCGCCAGTAAGCACTTTGATTCTAACTACTAATGGGAGCAATCTACTAAGAAATTGACACGATGTCAAACAAGCATATTTTGCCTTTATCCAAAAAAGATAAAATAACAAATTCCACTTTCACTAATTGATAATTGCACCTACAACTATGACAATATTGATCGACAATTTTCTGTAAGTGCACAGGGTCGATTGTAATAATAAAATACTTGGAATATTTCAGGGTCGAACCCACAGGAATGAGTTAATCTCCTACTTTAATTATTCTAACAAATTGCAAAAGCTAAATTTAAAGATTAAACCACTGATTAAGAAGCAAAACAATTATCAATTCAATTAGAAAGTGGTTGAGAAAACAATAGATGGAAGTCTAGGGTTTTAGGTTTTAATCCAAAATTTGAGTCAATTATCTAGTTAATTTCTTAACAAATCATGAATGCATTACACAATTATATTTTATATTATCTTTCAATACATCTAAAGTATGTCTAATTAAATCTTATGTCTTTTTCGAACTCGCAAGTATTCAATTAAATCCTTTAAGAACTTTAGTGATATAAGTGGATTATACAAACCCTAACTACTCTCATGATTAGATTAAGTATGTTTATCTATCTAATGTAAGGTTGTATCTTACTTCCCAGTTTAATACGAACCCAAAGATCATGTCTATTGTGATCAAGCGTAAACATGTAACTAAAATCAAGATAGATAAATCATAGCAAAAGACAAGACATTAAACCAGAAAAATTAATCGAATTTTTTCATAAAAATTCTAACCCTAGAAATAAATTTAGTTCAATATAATTGGAAAATTAAAACCATGAATTCAAAGAGTTAATACAAAGATGAGAATAAGAGAAAGAAAACTTCTTAGTTGCTTGCTCCGATCTCTTCCTTGTGCGCTCCTTGATTCGCCAACGTTTGATCTTAATTTCTCAAAATAAACACTGAAAAGATATTAGAACTAAACTAGGCTAATATTTTCTAACCCCAAAAAACGTCCTAAGTACTCTTATTCATAGCCTCTTCAAGTCCTGGTTGAATTCCAAAAGGAATAGGTTTCTTAAAACTGAAGAAAGCGAGTCGGCGTACTTTCCCGATGAACTCCGCCGTGAACTCCAGCCTAAACGCCGGCACTGGAGTTGTATCGAAACTCAAAAGTGGCCAAAACCAGAAGAATAACGGCGAGAAGACCAAATTACAGACTGGCGCCGGTTATTGAGGATCTGCGCGCGGATCGCTATGGATCCGTCCGCGGATCCTTTTAGTCCAGGCACACTCTCGTTTGCTTTTATTCCTTCCACTTTTGTTGCATTTACAGTCCAATACTTGATCAATTGTGAACTTCACTTGCACCAACCGACAACAACTCAAATGATATATATATTCAAAGTTAGCTTACAAACCACAATAAATAATTGGTTCACTTGTAGAAAAGTACTACAAATCCGACCCTTTCAAATGTATTTGAAAAAGTTATATATAGCAAATTAAAAAAACCCAATTCCAATCATATTTCCAGGGATGACTACTTAGATTTTGTAGAGCTGTGTTTCAAGGAATTTGGTGATCGAGTGAAGCATTGGATTACCATGAACGAGCCATACATTTTTAGTAATGGAGGTTATGATGGGGGAACTCTGGCTCCCGGTCGCTGCTCTGCTTGGCTAAACAACGATTGCCCAGCAGGAAATTCAGCAACTGAGCCTTATATAGTCGGACACCATATGCTTCTTTGTCATGCAGCAGCTGTAAAATTATACAGAGAAAAATACCAGGTCAGCAATGTCATTTCTCGTTCCCGTAGCTAATTAACTATCTAAAAATCATTGATACTATTTAATGCTAGAATTTGTTTGTTGGCTCGTTTGAACTAATGTTCATTTTGGCGCATTTGACGTCTCAATTTTGTTTTTGAAAGACGTCTCACATAAAAAGAGCATCTCTACGTTACAAGTTAAGACTCTTAGTTAACCCTCAATGAACATAGGTTCTGTAATCTTCAGCATGCATCGCCAATTTTGTATCAATCCCATGAACCCTGAAATCATATTAGTGAAGGTAATTTCTGTACATGAGTAGATGTTAAATGCATGATTGAAACTTCAATTTGCAGGCAAGTCAAAAAGGAGAGATAGGGATTACATTGGTGTCGCACTGGATAGTACCGTACTCTAGTAGCAAGCTTGACATTCTTGCAACACAAAGAGCTCTTGATTTTATGTATGGATGGTGAGTTTGGACAACAATTCTCTTTGCAAACATTGAATTCTTTCTGGTTCAACTGCGTCAATCGTCAACTTCAAGGAATAGGAATTGTATTCCTGTTCTAGATTTATTGTTTGCTCTTTTTCATTTTCTCTCTAGTAAGCAAAAAGTAGCACAGGTATTTATCTGAAATTTACATTGACTAAAAACTATTCAATTCAAGATAGCGGTAATACTAATGCTTCTACAATTCAAAATTCAGGGCTCGCATTTTGTCAAGGAAAAATAAATAATAGTTCTTAAAATAAATTAAATTAGAACATAAACTTTTGGTGCTTCATCTATCTTGTCTAAGCAATCTTATCTATAGATGCATGCTCACGATGTATCATGGATTTGTGATGGTTTCGCAGGTTTATACATCCATTGATATATGGAGATTATCCTGCAAGCATGCATAAACTTGTTAAGAATCGTTTGCCCAAATTTACCCCGGAGCAATCTAAGATAATCAAGGGTTCTTTCGACTTTCTTGGACTGAATTATTATACAGAAAAATATGCAATTAATATTGCCTCTCAGAATAATATCAACGTTAGCAGCTCTACAGATCCTCTAGTCAACCTCACTTGTAAGTTCTATGGCTGATAATCTCATATTTTTGCCACAAAACCGCAGTTAATTCTTCCAATTTATGAATTATGCTATACAAATTCTTGATTATTTTCTTCGTTTCCAGCGGAAAGGAATGGAAAGTTCCTAGGTGATCCGGTATGTCTGGCCGATAATTTCTTGATTTTTCCAAATCCCAACTACACATTCCCTGTTTTACATGGAAAAATATTTAATATTTTTCTGAAAATTCATTGTAGACTGGAGACAGTTTCTTCTGTGCCTATCCAAAGGGACTTCGAGATCTTCTTGAATACACCAAGAAAAAGTACAATAATCCAACAATTTATATCACGGAGAATGGTACATAAGACAATCTATTATTAATGCCTTTGCTTCTCTTTTATCTTTTTGTTCTCTCTTGATTGCTCTGATTATTTTCAGGGATTGGCGATGCAAATAATAGCACACGAATAAAAAGTATCAAGGATTTCCAACGAGTTGATTTCTACCATCGCCATCTTTTGGCTGTTCAAGAAGCCATGAAGTGAGTCTCCTTGCTTTTGGTTGTTGTTTGCAATTAAAAGAATGGGAAAAGCGGAGGAAATTTAGGTTTTTGCACCTTTCTACGTTTTTAATTAGCAGAAAAGTTATAAAATTTACCTACAGTTTTCCTCACTTTTCTACATTTTGTCTTCTACAAAGTTTGCAAGATTTTGGAGGAAAATTATTAGTTACACGTACTATTTATAATAACCGCCACTCTCTATTTTCATCCAAAATTTTTCTTGTCAATCAAACATGTATAAGAAAGTGACTTCTCTTTTCTTTGCTCGATTTTCCTTCACCTGACTTTCTCACGTAACTTTACATCTAATCAAACAAAACCCAAGCCAAAATTTTATTCCAAACCATACTACCGTATTAGATGTCAACTAAATAGTACTTTACAAATTCTAATTTTAGCAAAATGTAAATACTTTAAAAAAAAAAAAAAAGTATCCGTCTTGTTGCCTAGTGATGTTATAATGGTACTTTTATTTATCTTTTTATTTGTTTTTGTAACTTTACAAGGTGCTTATTTGGATAAGAAATCAATCGTAATCTTTGCAGATTGGGAGTGAATGTAAAGGGTTTCTTTGCTTGGTCATTTCTTGACGATTTCGAATGGAGCTTCGGTTATACCTTGAGGTTCGGTATATGCTATGTGGATTACGAAGATGGACTGAAAAGATATCCCAAAAGCTCTGCCCTCTGGTTCAAGAAATTTCTTCGCAAGTAAAAAGACAGCTACTTTGATATGATGCACTTTTGAGTGGATCCAGAAATAGCTTGGGCATTTCAGAATAAAATATTTTTCCCATAACTATATTGAAGAAGTATTTCTTCTTTCCTCTTTTTGGGGGAAGCAATCAGAATGTGCAAATAAATATCCAATTGCAATATTATCCTACTACTGGACTTACCAAATATTCTGCATTTTATTTTGGATCACTTAACCCTTCTCTAATTTTTAAAATTACACTAACCTCCTCATATTTATTGTTTGGATAATAAAATCTTCGAAATTACACAAATTTATACGAAAATCGTGTATTACCCTTCTCGTTAAAAAAATATATATACTCTCTTACATTCTTCTTTGTACCACCAAAACCACTAACACTATCATCTTTTTGCCTCTACTAGGAGGCAGAAACGCGCATCGCACGTTGGAAATGCAAATTGCCCTGCCCAATTTTGAAACAATAAAAAATAATAATTTTTTCAGAAAAAGTACACTTTTAGCATAGGAATTTCACAAGTTTGGATAGTGTATCAGTGCTTTAAATGTATAAATGTCAAGAGGGGCCTAATTCATATATAATCATAATTCAAAATGGCTTAAAAAGTTATCATCAGCCATGTGCTTTTTGCAACTGAATAGCAAAGTGGGTATGCGGTAGGCCATAGTGAAAAGACAAACATAGATGTATAAAAATTTAACAAAGAAAATAAAACTCGGAAATGGGTAACAAAATGTCAGCTTCATGCCCCGCGTCTATCTTCATAGAATCCAACGTCCAAATTAAAGCTCTCGAATTATGTTGATAACTAAGAACCATGGAACACAGCCCAAGCCAACATCCAAATTAAAGCTCTCGAATTATGCTAGGAGCATTCCACACTTGGGGCAACCCATAGATCCAGCATACTACTACAACACGTCAATCCTTCCTCAGTTCCATATATTCACGTTGAGCTCCCTCAGCATTCAAGACGAAAATTTCCGGCTTGTCACCCTACAAGCACCATAAATATGGTAAAACAAAATAATAGGCAAGACTATAGAACATGAAAGGGAAGAAACAAGTTAACCATAGTCCACACAAATGCCTCGATCAAGTGGTTTGACAATTTATAAGGAACTCTACACCACCATTCAAAAACAACTTTCAAGTAAACCAGGCCATCTAAGAGTTGATGTTGCAACAGAAAATTTCAACACAATGTCACTTACAACTGAGACATCAAACACCACTACATAGCCTAAGTGAAGTCTGCAAATGCACCTTAAGACCAAAAATTTTTTATCTGGCTACCAACCCAACTAACACCCCAATTCACGACCTAACAAACAAGGAAAAGAAAAAGGGAGCAAGCAGGGAATAGGCTTTTTTCAGTGCATACATAGTTCTAGATGACAAAACATGAGCTTTTTACACATATCCAATAGATATGGTTTACTTACAAAATTCATTAAGTAAACACAAATAAGCAGATCCCACCACAAGGTATCATTTATCCTGTTAAAGAACCATCTTACAGAGTTTGCAATTAACTTCATTAGGCTAAATTAAATTAGAAGTTTCACACTCTTTTTGCCCTGCGGACATATGGGATTTACACTAGAAACTTATAGAAATTGTTCTGAGGTTTCTTGAACGTTTTCAATGAAGAATAACATGGGAAAGGGAATAGGTAGAATCAACTTATGGTGTAGATATCTCTTTCTGTTTCAAAAGTAAAACATGTATTTGCCAGGTCGTAACAGCATACTGACAACTCATGATTTGCAACTTTGTCAGAATAAACAAAATAATTACCAAACTATACTGTTAAAATTTAGAGAGAAGCTAGACCTTTGCAAGTAATAAGCGAGGGCTAGGAGACTTTAGTTGGTTGTCCAAGAAAGGCATGATCAAGGTAGAACCAAAAGCTTGTTAACTATATCCAACCCTTCCATAGGATCCAACGGCGTCACATGTGAAGACACACCCCCTCCCTAGTGTTGTTTAACAATGCAAAAAGGGCTAGATGAAAATTGGAGATAATTAAAGTGAATAAAATATACATCTATCAATGAAAGCATACCCTGACCATCAAGCTCCCCCAGAACATAAAAGCATAGTAAGCAAAGAAGCGCTTGTAGTAAAGGGTGTTCAACAGCAACTGAGCCATGGCGGGAGTGCTCATTTGTTTATTGTGTTGTTGCTGATATATCTACATTTGAGGAAGAAAGCATTAAAACATCAGTTATAGCACAATAGTTCACTCTCACTTGTAGAAGGAAAATTTTGGTTATAATGAGTCATTGAAGCACAGTATATTGTGATCATATATACAAATTTTCCAATGATTTAAACAAAACCCTCTTTTCAAAAAAAATTTTTAATCCTAGGAAAACCAAAAATCTGACCTCTAAATACATCTTGAAAGACCCAAAATATTTACCTTCCATGTTGGAGCAAGATCCAAGAGTTCTTTTACTGAAGATATCATCCCATGGAAACTAAGTTACGGAATTGCCAACCCAAAATCAAGACAGACCTGTAATTGCATATTCCCTTCCGTTAAAGGACTCACAAAGCAAAGAAACAAGCCAGAACAGGTCTTACCTAAGGATACACAGAGCTAGAGCTAGATATGATGCTTCCTTTGTAAAACAATAAGATGCATGTAAAAGCATGAGTCGAGACTTGCTGAATCATTTGTCTTCAAGAATGTTGTGGAGATGTAGGGGATTAGATAGTCTGAAATCAAGATCGTTATCCCCAAAACTAATATCAATAATAATGTAGAATTAGAGTTCCAAAGATAAATGGTTCGAATAAATAGAGAAACCAAATTGCATCCCAGTCTGCCTTAGGAATTCTATTGTGATACTCAATCATTCTGCTCTAAATCAACCCATAACATAAATCAAGTATGGGCAAAATGGCAGACTTCACCATAGCAATGAGAAAAGAAACTAGTTATAGGCCGGAAGCCATGGAGGCAAGAAAAATAACATAAATCAACCCAGAAAAATCCCAATCGGAATTTAGACGTCACCAATCAGCTAAAGAAATTAAATGACACATTTTGGATCAACACATAAAAGATACTTCAGAAGTCTTTCCCTAAAAAAAACTAAAAGAACAACCGCAATTATATTTCTTACTAAATTGCTGGAAGATTCTACAAAAAGAAAAGCTTGATCAAATAAGGAAATGCCAAATATATCATGATAAGCCATGCATTATGATAAACTCTTTCCCATTCACATTCAATAGAAAAAATGCATGCAAAAGTCAATAGAGGGGCACAAAGATTAAACTGGTAAAACTCACCACGATCAATATCAACTCCAAGGATACTGCAGCTAGAAAACTTCTTTGCTGCCAATATGGATAAACAAACACATTGGAGCCACCAATATTACACCATCCCAATACTCTAGCTTCTTCGTGTGCAAGAGGAGAACCACTGCTCCTCCTATTGATTCTCCTAGTAATATGCTCATCTTTTTCCTATTTTCTTTCCTGAAAATCAAAGCACCGAGAAACTCAACCAACCACTCATTTTAAGTCCTTTATAGTCTTCAAAAATAAAAACAAGAAAAATAGGAAATTAACTATAGAATCCTTCTCTGATAAAGAGGAAATAGCGGATTTATTTCAATTTTTACAGCAGATATTGGTGAATGATCAAAGCAGTCATTAACAAAACCAATGACCTTCCATTGCAAGACGATTCCAGGATCTGTTATGGCCATGAGAAAATCATAACGTTAACATTTCTATTCTACTAAGACGCATACAGAACAAAAAGGCTACTGGAAAAACGAAATAAAAACCCAAGGGAAAACAGCAACGAAATCCACAGACAAAAAAGATCATATCAAGGGAAAATAAGCTCAGAGCTACAACTCCGCAGAGATCTTTATAATTAACGGCAGGATTGCTCCCTTACAACTTATTTTCAAAAAAAAAAAAAAAGAAATTGCTGACATATATAAGCAAAGAACACTGAGCAGCAAGAATAAGGGCGAGATACAGCATTGAAATAGCTTCAAAAGCAGGACAAGGATTAAAGCAAACACCATGGCCAACAACAAATTGCAGTGTAAAATGGGGAAAAAAAATCATACGAAGCAAATATGCAGAGGAACCATGATTATGATTAAAACGCACCAGTAAAAGAAGCTCGCAATCAAGTTGGCCAAAGAAGGCGGCGAGAGGAAGGAGCTCAAAAAGGGGAACAGGTTCAAGGGCACAACGAATCTGAGAAAATGAAAATGAGAAACCAGATGAGAAAACCCTAGGAAAAAAGGGCACAACCAACCCGTGTTGGAATTCGGACGACATCGGAAGACACAGCCATAATGAAGCACGCCAATTACCATTCTTGAGAAAGCTCGCCTGTCAGCTCCGAACAATGCAGCTGTGAGAGCCGGAAATGGAAAGGAACTGGCAGGGCAATTAATTCCAAAGCAGAAAACCCATGGGCGACCCAATTACCCGATCCATTCGAACGGAGCAGCCGGGGAAGCGGAACATTACACAGCTCACGCGAGCGGTACATGACGACGACGAAACCTCTTGGCACGTTGTATGTTATGTTGATGACAACAGCTACCAAGTCCACCACTATTACCGCTGCACAGGTTGCCGCTTGGAAGGGTTAAAAAAACAATAGAAAACTCTCTAAAACTCTTTAGTTTCTACCACTAGAGCCACACCGCCACTAACAATTCCATCTATGTTATTACTATCATAATCCTATGGCATAACTTGTCGGACAAAACTAAAAAAATAAAAATAAAAAACCAAAAAGAGATGCTCTAACAATCAATCAGTGTTTTTAAAATCGAATCGGACTAGCCAGTTCGACCGGTTAAATCGTGAACCGACTATGACACCGATCCAATTCTATACTAAAATCGAAAGTGACAAATAAATCAGTCAAGACCGGTCGAACTCGTCAAAACCGGTAAACCCAGTCAAACCGGTAATTCCCGATTTTCAGTTTTCCCCTCAATCTTTTTTTAAGTTTTGCAAAATGCTAAATTCTATGTTGCAAAGGATCAAACTTGGGACCTTTGTTATAGAAGTCCAAAGTAGTAACCATTGTACCATCACATTTGATTAGACTTTGGTAATAACACATTTATATAAAACTTAACAACTAAGGCACAAAAAAGCAAAAAAAAAAGTCTCTGTACCTTG